AATCTCAACAGATTGAGAAAATGCTCCAGAAAAGGGCAGTTTTACCACTACTTATTTTACACATCAGAATCAAAGGGGAAGACATAGGGATTACATGAAAGCCGTTGGTGATGGATTAGGGAAGTGAGAGAAAGCAAAGTGGGGAAATCTCTGAGATTGGATAAAAAGTAAAATGAATAGACACTTACTTCTTTTACATTGGTGAGTATAGGATAGTTAACCATTAACATTACAGCACACAGAGATGGTATGAGGGAGAATAAGATAACAATGCGGGTGTCTGTGGTCTCCTGTTCTGGTGGAAGATTGTGCCCTGAGGGATCTGGAAAAGAAGATTACTCTGACATTTCAAAGGTATGTTATCATAGATACAAAAAGACAATAGATAAACTCAGTTAAGGTAAAAATTGGCCTTTGTCAAGAAATTCGGGCCTAGGACATGACTACCTGCCACAAGGGCTTTTAGTAAGAAATTTTTTAAAATTGTTGTTTCCTTTATTGAATTTTAGCAAGAGAGGAAGTGAGAGGGAGAGAGAGATAGAAACATCGAAGAGAGAAAACATCGATTGGCCGCCCCCTGCATGCTCTCCACTGGGGATCTGACCCAGAACCTGGGCACGTGTCCTGACTTGGAATCGAACATGACCTCTTGGTGCATGGGTCAATGCTCAAACACTGACCCACACCCGCTGGACTAGGAATTTTTATGTTCAGACCATCACAGTTCTCTGAGTTTGTAAGGCACACCATGCAGGCCTCCCCTGAACTTGTCAGGTTTAGTTAGTTTGTGGCCCTTTTTTCATCCACTGTATAAAGTGGGGGGGGGGGGGGATCGAGGAAATAAAGAAATAGGAAGTCTTTTTGATTAAGTGACTTTTTTTACAATATCTCTTTGAAGTGGCTGGGGCCTATGTTATACAAGTCTCAAAGCACTGCGGAGGAGAAACAAAATATCTTTTATCCTTAAGGTTCTTTTTGCTGGTCTAATAATTAGACAGGAGAAAGATTAGCAAAAGACAATAAGTAAATTTATTTATTTATTTATTTATTTTATTTTATTTTTTTGATACATGCCCCTAGCAACAGCCGAACCCGGGACTCTCTGGTCCACAGGCCAACACTCCAACTGCTGAGCCAAACTGGCCAGAGCTATTCATTTATTTTTTAATTTTTTTTCTTTATTGATTTAGAGAGAGAGAGAGAGAGAGAGAGAGAGGAAGAGAGAGGGAGAGATAGAAACATCGATGAAAGACAACATCGATTGGCCACCTTCTGCATGCTCCCCACTGGGGATCTGGCCCACAACCTGGGCATGTGCCCTGACCGGAAATTGAACCGGCAACCTCTTGGTGCATGGGTCAATGCTCAGCCACTGAGCCACACCAGCCAGGCAACAATATCTAAATTTAATATATACATATGTATGGGAATGTTGACAGCAAGAATGGCACCAGGTGTTAGACCAGTGGGGTCAGGCTGGGCCTTGGTTCAGCAACCTAAATCCTTGCGTTTTGGTTAGGAAAGAATTCAGGAAAGACTCAAACTATAAAAGAAAGTTTATTTAGAAAGTCACAGGTAGAAGAAGTGAGTGGTAGAAGAAATGGGGTCAGGAAACAAGTTATAGGAGCAAAAGAAGGCTACCTTGTCGTTTAGAAGAGAGAAGGGTAAAGGAAACATTACTGGGAGGTGGGGAAGAGGAAAGAGATATGAAAGGCACAGGTGTGCTCTGGAGAGGGTGAGCTCACTGGGTCCTCTGTCCTAAGGGCTTTTTTTTTTTAATTGGGATGTTTTATTTTATTTTATTTTATTTTATTTTATTTTAATCCTCATCTGAGGACATTTTTTTGCATTTATCTTGAGAGAGAGAGGAGGGAGAGAGAGAGAGAAACATCGACATGTGAGAGATGATGTATGTCGAGTGGTTGCCACCCACAGGACCCAACCAGGGCCAGGGACAAACTGCAACCGAGGTACATGCCCTTAGGGGGAACCAGCGGGTCTCTCTGGTTCACGGGCCTACGCTTCAACCGCTGAACCAAACCAGCCAGGGCTGTCCTAAGGGCTTTTAAGGGTGGAGATTTTAGGGGAGGTCCCAGGGGAAGATCTCAACAGAATATTCATCAACTTTCCAGGCGTGTCCTTTCAGGGTCTTAGTCTCCACTGATTGGTCAATGCCAGGGCAGGATGTCATTATTCAATGCATCTGGTTCTGAGGTCAGCCTTGGCATCTCTTATCTGGTTTTGCTGCTTTTCTGGGCCTGGAACTGAAACACAACTGAGCACTAGATGTATTTGATGTGGGTCAGAACCTCATTGTCCTAGGTGCTTAATGCTTAAGGTCTATTCCCTGACCCCCTTGTTTGTTCCCCATCCAAGGGGGTCTAACCCACATGACTAGAAATATGCCAGGGCAAGAAAGGTCAGGGGAGGGTCCAAACCGCATGACCAGCAAAATGAAAGGTCAGTGGGTCTAAACCAAATGACCAGTGGTCTGCTAGGGGAGGAAAGGTTACCCTGGGGGCAAGTTCCTTGTTTTCCCAGTTTTGCCTGTTGCTAGCCACCTGAGACATTCCATGCTGGTGACCTTCTGTACCTGTGCCATTGTCCTTGCTCTGCTCATGTATGTCTAACTGCCTACAGTAGTAACCCCACATACATAAGAGAGTCAGAAACCTCACATGCAGGAGAGGTTCAGAGACAGAAAAGGAACATGGGTATATAAGTCATCCTGATCTAGGGTTGAGGTAAGTTGTCTTGGGCTTCAAAAGGTCATTGCAGGTGACAAGAAGAGCAAACTTTAAGTAAATAGAAGTTTGCCCTACCCTATAGATAGGTCAAAAGAAGTTAACTCTGATAACCTTTGATTGGCAAGGCCTCTAATTTAAATTCTTCTAGGTAGTTCAGAGGAGGGATGGCAGAAGTTTTTCTTGAGTCTGTGGCTAAAGTTGCCTTTAGTGCAAAACAACCTGTATACCATAGAGGCACATCTTGAGGTGACTCATTCTGGACCTCCCGAGTACCTTGGGTTTATTTTTAGTGGCACCTAATACAATTTATTATAAGCAGTTAATGGAGTAATTATTCATTTAATACTTCACTTTGTTCTGAGGATCAGGGGCTGTTCCTATTTTGTTTACCGCTATGTTCTTATGACATGGTATGTTCTAGGTACAATGCTTATTATACAGCATGTATCTCATAAATATTTGTCGAATAAATGAGTAGGTTTTTCCACCTGGGGAAACCTTATATTATTAATAACTGTGTAATGGTTATATGCACACACTCTAAAGTAAGACATCCTAGTGTCAGAATATTAGCTCCACTAGATGCACCACCTTATGCAAATTACTCAACTTCACTGTCTTTTCGTTTCCTCATCTTTGAAATGGGAATAATAAAATTAACTAAATGAACTAATTTATGTCAAACACTTAGAAAAGTGTTTCTAAGATAGAAAAGTGGTATCTGCTCAATAAAAGTTATTCATTTTCTTTATTATTATTAATATGAGGTGGTCAGTAATACTTAAATAAAATACTACTCATACTGGCCGGTGTGGTTCAGTTTGTTGGAATATTGTACTGTACACCAAAGGGTCATGGGTTCAATTCCCAGTCAGGGTGCTTGCAGGAAGTGACCGATTAATATTTCTCTCTCACATCAATGTCTCTCTCTCTGTCCCTTCTCTCTAGAATTAGTAAAAAACATGTCCTCGGACTGGCTGGTGTGGCTCAGTGGTTGAGCATCGACCCATTCACCAACAGGTCGCCAGTTCAATTCCCAGTCAGGGCACATGCCCAGGTTGTGGGATAGATCCCCAGTGGGGGACATGCAGGAGGCAGTTGATCTCATTGATGTTTCTCTCTCTCTCCCCCTCGCCCTTCTTCTTTCTCTAAAGTCAATAAAAACATATTTAGAAAAAGAGTTGCTCTGGCCGGTTTGGTTCAGCGGTTAGAGCGTCGGCCTGTGGACCAGAGAGACCTGAGTTCGGTTCCCACTAAGGGCACATACCTCAGTTGCTGTTATCTCTCTCACATCGATGTTTCTCTCTCTCTCTTCCCCACTCTCTCCCTCCCACTGTATCTGAAGATAAATGCAAAAAAAAAAAAAAAAAATGTCCTCGGATGAGGACAAAAAACCAAAAAAAAAAAAATAAAATAAATAAAAAAAGAGAGATGATAATATTGTTGAAAGCTCTTATGCGTCATTGAAGAATATCAATGTTCAGAGAAACTCTGGTAACATCTAGACAATTTTTAGCATTTACAGGTACAGTTATAGAGGTCCTGTCTCCCACACCTTCTCTAAAACTATCAACGGATAGAAATACTTACTACTTCCAGGTAGGAGTTCACATTTTCATTTAAGAGTCATTGAGGCCCTGGCCGGTTTGGCTCAGCAGTAGAGCGTTGGCCTGCGGTCCGGAGAGACCCGGGTTCAGTTCCTGCTAAGGGCACGTAATTCAGTTGCAGTTTGTCCCCGGCCCTGGTTGGGTCGTGTGGGTGGCAACCACTCAATGTGTCCCTTTCACGTCAATGTTTCTCTCTCTCTCTCTCCCTCCCACTCTATCTGAACAAAAAACGAAAAAATATCCTTAGGTGAGGATTAAAAATAAAAATAAAAATAAAAAATAAAATATTAAAAAAAAAAAAGAGTCATTGAGATTGCCCAGCCAGTTTGACTCAGTGGATTGAGTTAGCATCGCTCCATGGACTGAGAAGTCCCAGTTCAATTCCCAGTCAGGGCACATGCCTGAATTGTGGGCTTGATCCCTGGTGAGGGGCATGCAGGAGGCAGCCAAGTGATATTTCTTTCTCACATCAATGTTTCTATCTCTCTCAAAAAAATTTAATGAAAACATAGATAAATTAAATGCCATTTCTCTATGTTAAAAAAAAAAAAGTCATTGAAATTGTTAAAAAAAAATTCAACTGAGTAAATGTGAATATCTAATGGGCTTTGTGAAGCAATTCATAAATCAGGCAGCACATCCCACTTAACAACTAAAAGGATTTTTTTTTTTTTTTTTAAATATATGCTGTTGAGTTTTCCACATTTGAGGAAATCGCAGGGGTCAGCACATCTGGGTGCAATGGATAAGCCTTGCCCCGGGAAAACCACCTTTGTGATCATGGTATCTCCCCTGCCAGGTAAGTATTAGAAGGATTTTTGGAGGGGTTGTACAAAATGGAAGTTTTGTTTGTTTTTATCCTCATTCGAGGACATTTTTTTCATTTTTTGTTCAGATAGAGTGGGAGGGAGAGAGAGGAAGAGAGAGAGAGAGAAACATCATCGATGTGAGAGGTACATCAAGTGGCTGCCACCCGCTTGACCCAACCAGGGCCGGGGACAAACTGCAACCGAGATACGTGCCCTTAGCAGGAACCAAACTTGGGTCTCTCTGAACCGCAAGCCGACGCTCTAACCGCTGAGCCAAACCGGCCAGGGCCAAAATGGAAGTTTTGATAGGAGGACTGGTGGGGCAAGAAAGCTATTAAGCAAAAGAAAAGGAAGTCCCTGATCAATTTGCCTTGGTGGTGAAAGTGTTGGCCCTCAGATGGAAGGGTCGTGGGTTTGATTCCCAAGCAAGTGCACATCAGGTTAGATCCTTGACTCTGGTCGGGGTTATGGGGGAGGCAACCAGTTGATATCTCTCTCTCTCTCTCTCTCTCTCTCTCTCCCTCCCTCTCTTCAACTCTATCTAAAAATCAATGGAAGCCCTGGCCGGTTTGGCTCAGCGGTTAGAGCGTCGGCCTGCGGTCCTGAGAGACCCGGGTTCGGTTCCCGCTAAGGGCATGTACCTTGGTTGCAGTTTGTCCCCGGCCCTGGTCGGTCGTGCAGGTGGCGGCCACTTGATGTGTTCCTTTCACATCGATGTTTCTCTCTCTCTGTTCCTCTCTCTCCCTCCCACTCTACCTGAACAAAAAAAAAAAAAAAGGAAAGGTGTCCTCGGGTGAGGATAAAAAATAAAAAAAATAAAATAAAAATCAATGGAAAAATATCCTTGGGTGACGATTAACAACAACAACAAAAAAAAAAGAAAGAAAGAAAAGAAAAGAAAGGATAATATGTGGACTGTGACTTCTTTTCTTTGGGGAAGATGCCTGGAAGGATTTTTATCATGCAGATTGCTTCTTCATTTTATGGGAGGATGGAGAGGAACCATGTGACAGATTATTTTACTGGTGCTTAACTAGGACATTCCTTACTGGTTGATTAAGGTTATGTTTTTTGGGGAAGTTGCAACTAGACTTAGATCAAGTATTAAATCTAGGTTTGGTCTCATGGGGTTTTAGCAGGAGTAACACCATTTGGGGCCTGTGGTTTTCAATTTATTTCATGTACATAATTTTATGATTACATTCATATGAAGATCTAGAACAGGCTAGACCAATTGGTGGGAGAAAAAATTAAGAACTGCAGTTTTCACCCAGCCAGTGTGACTCAGTGGTTGAGCATCAACCCATGAACCAAGAGGTCGCTGGTTCGATTCCTGGTCAGAGCACATGCTCAGATTGTGGGCCAAATCCCCGGTGGGGGGCATGCAGGAGGCGGCCAATTGATGTTCTCTCTCATAGATGTTTCTGTTTCTCTTTTCCTCTCTCTCTAAACTCAATAAAGAAAAAGAAAAAAGCAAGCAGCCCTGGCCGGTTTGGCTCAGCGATTGGAGCATCGGCCTGCGGTCCTGAGAGACCCGGGTTCGGTTCTCGCTAAGGGCATGTACCTCGGTTGCAGTTTGTCCCCTGCCCTGGTTGGTTGTGCGGGTGGCAGCCACTCGATGTGATGTGTTCCTTTCACATTGATGTTTCTCTCTCTCTCTCTGTTCCTCTCTCTCCCTCCCACTCTACCTGAACAAAAAAATGGAAAAATGTCCTCGGGTGAGGATAAAAAAAAAAAATACAGTTTTTTAAAAGAAAAAAGAAAAAAAAAAAAGAACTGCAATTTTCTCTTTAATAAGACATAATACTGAAAAACTAAAAACAACATTAATGTCCATGAATAAAGGATTGATTTTCTTTTTCCTTCCTCCCTTCCTACCCTCCCTCCCTCCTTTCTTTCTCTCTTTCTTTCTTTTTTCATCCTCACCTGAGGATATTTCTCCATTTTTGTTCAGATAGAGTGGGAGGTACAGAGAGGAAGAGAGAGGAATAATGACGTGACAGGGACACATTGAGTGGTTGCCTCGCGCATGACTGCAACCCCAATCAAGGCCAAGGATGAATTGCAATCGAGGTACGTGCGCTTGACCAGAATCTAACCCGAGACTCATTGGTCCGCGGGCTGACCCTCTAACCCTGAGCCAAACTGGCCAGGGCAACTGAACCACCTTGCCAGGGCAAAGATTGATGTTTTTGTTTGTTTGTTTGTTTTAAATCCTCACTCAAGGATATTTTTCCATTTGTCTTCAGATAGAGGGGGAGGGGCAGAAAGAGAGAGAGAGATGTGAGAGAGACACATTGATCAGCTGCCTCCCGCACGACCCTGACCAGGGGGACCAGGGGGACTGGGAACCAGGGACTGAACCACAACAGAGGTACGTGCTCTTGATCAGAATCGAACCCAAGACTCTTGTTCACAGGCCAATGCTCTAACCACTGAGCCAAACCGGCCAGGGCAAGGATTGGTTTTTTAAAAATTATGTAGTATCCATAGATTTTGATATAATGCTGTTGCTAATAAGGATGAGGTTGATCTTTACATATTGATGTAGACAAAAATGTACTATAACCCTGGCTGGTTTGGTTCAGCGGTTAAAGCGTTGGTCTGCCGTCCAGAGAGACCTGGGTTCGGTTCCTAATAAGGGCGCGTACCTGGGTTGCAGTTTGTCCCCGGCCCTGGTAGCCGCTTGATGTGTCCCTTTCGCATTGATGTTTCTCTCTCTCTCCCCCACTTTCTCTCCCTCCTGCTCTATCTGAACAAAAATGGAAAAAAATGTCCTCAGGCTGTTGTAACCCAGGAGATCGACCAAACTCAGACGCCGAGATGGGGTTTAATAAAAGGAGTTTATTGAGCTAAGTCTGCAGGCACCTGCAGTATGCCCCACACAGGAGTAACTGCGGCCCCGGAGAGCTAAAATGGCTCCTTTTTATAGGATTTTGTAAGGGGGGGTGCTATGTGTAAGCAAGCATGTTACAGAAGCGGAATTTAGCAGTTAGTTAATTACCCGTTACTCAGTTTCCCAGACATCTCAAAGGTCAAGATGTTTTCAATAGATTATCCCTGGCGCCACCCAAGATTACTCAAGGGCTAGTTATTACCCCAGGGTTAGCGATTACTTAGGGATTAGTTAGTGAAGAATGTTCTTCAGTAAATGAGTAAACTGACAACCCCTTTGGTTGTCATGAAGGCCTCTGGGAGTTTAGGTCAATGGCACTGAGTTATAACAAGGGGAGGATAAAAACAAAACAACAAAAAAACCCACAACGTACTATATAACAGTAATTTGAAAAAACATTATTAAAAAATCTGTAAAGATCTATATCAAATAGTTCAGAATGGATGTTTTGGCAGAGGGCTCACATGGAAACTGGCACTCTTTTTGTATATCTAATTTTTACAATACATTTTTTTTTTTTTTTTTACAATAATCACATATTAACAGAAAACGTGAGTGGGATATTTCTATCAGAAAAGGGGCGTTGCCCTTGGTGGGTCTGCCTAGGGCCAGCTGGTAGTGCATTGGTCATTGACTTTGTAGGAAAAATTTCACAACACAAGTCCAGGTGAATTTTAGCGGACATTTCTCTAAGCTGGGGACAGTGACCCTGGCTGGCTTGCTCAGTGGTTAGAGCGTCGGCCTGTGGTCCAGAGAGACCCGTGTTTGGTTCCTGCTAAAGGGCGCGTGCCTCGTAGTACCTCAGTTGCAGTTTGTCCCCGGCCCTGGTGGGGTGGTGCGGGTAGCAACCACTCAATATGTCCCTTTCACATCGATGTTTCTCTCTCTCTCTCTCCCCCCCCTCCTCCCACTCTATCTGAACAAAATATGAAAAAATGTCCTCGGGTGAGGATAAAAAATAAAAAGCTGGGGACAGTAAAATAAGAAAGGGCCGGGGAATTAGCCTAATCTGGTCTGCTTTACTCACTGAGAAGTCAGAGTAAAGAGGGCCCTGGGCATAGGTTCATGGGGTTCGTCTGGGATGAACTGCCACTGCCTATTGCTGCCCTGGTTGCAAGCAGTGGTTTCCTAAGGCCCAACCCTTTAATACAGTTCCTCATGTTGTGGTGACCCCCAACCATAAAATTATTTTATTTTATCATAACTGCAATTTTGCTGTTATGAATCACCATCGGAAATATGTGTTTTGCGATGGTCTTAGGCGACCCCTGTGAAAGGGTTGTTTGACCCCCAAAGGGGTCGTGACCCACAGGTTGAGAACCGCTGCCTTAGAGTTTAGAAGATGCCTGCCTGTGGGGGAAGAAGAGGTGGGGGGGGGCGGGGGTGTGCTCCTGGGAAGAAGAGCCTGTGCTGGGTCTTTTGTGTTGAGGCTTTTATTTTTCTCTTGTAGGTGGGAATCTTAGGGGGGGTCTCAGATGAGGGTCTCAAAAAACTATTCATCAATTTTCTAGGTGTGTTCCTTCAGGTCTTCATGGATTGGTCACTGTCAGGGAACCGGATCGTTAGTCTTTGCAGCTGGTCCTTGTGTTTCCCTCCTGGTTTCGCTGCTTTTCTAGGTCTGGAGCTGAAATACAACTGAGGCCTAGAAGTTATTTCTAGTGAGGTGACCTTCTGTATCTACTGTAAATTGCTCTAAGTTTGTTTAGTGATCTGTCTCAGTTTTCCTTTTCCACTTGCCTTGGCTTACTGGCTCATTTCCTTTCTACTTGGGAAGCTTCAAAACAATGAGGGGGGAAAAAAGAAAACAGCACTGGAAGCCTTGAGAAGGTGTGTATCTAATCAAAGTGAACAATAATTTTACTAGCACTATGTAATATCTGTAAGGACAGAAAACAGGCCCCTCTTTTCTTTGTTGTGACTTTTACACAATTTTTGAGAAGCACCTAGTAATTAAACCTGGAGATTGTTGGCTCCTCTGATTCAAACAGTTCCTCTGTTCAAATAGCAGGACAGCATAAGGCTACATTCAAGGTTACACTCCACCCCCTCTCCTCCCTGCTGTTTTAACAGTTTCAGGCTGGTTAGTAAGAATTCCTCCTCCT